TTAAGTCTTCAACTGAACACCAGTGAGTCTCAGTTGGTGGAGTATCTAGTCCACGCCTTTGACGTTTTCAAGTGTGACTTCGTATTGGAAGGTGATAAGCTACATGTTGCTGAGAGGGACATTGAATGCACTTTAGGCATCCCGCGTGGCGTAAAAGAGGTGGAGGAGGCTCCAAAATTTGAAGAGAATGGAAAAGCTGAGTACAGGGCTCTATTACGTACTTGGAGACAACGGTGGGGAATACAAACCGGATCACCAATCATAACAAGGATGGGAGACACAATTATTGACAGGGGAGATTATGGAGATGAGTTTAAGAGAGATTTCATGGTCTTGATTATTTCTTCAATGCTCCGTGGATTCCAGACACGGTACTGCAATGTCAGAATCCTGAACTCTTTGATCGATGTTAGCGAGATCAAGAACTACAATTGGTGCAGCTATACCTACAAGTACCTTATCAAATCAATCGACAAGAAACAGAAAAAATCTGGTGTTGTGTTTACTGGTCCAGTCACATTCCTCCTTGTAAGTCCTTGATATGTCTCTACTTTATATTATTATGTTGTAAATATAGAACTATATGCTTATGAATGTACACCTATATCATTATGAACATACAGTTCAAAGATTATGAATGTAGTACTCTGTAGTTTGCATGTTGTGAATATAGAATATATATGCTTATGAATGTACAGTTATATCATTATGAACATACAGTTCAAAGATTATGCATGTGGTACTCTGTAGTTTGGATGTTGTGAATATAGAAATATATGCTTATGAATGTACAGTTATATCATTTGCAGAGCATGGCTGAATTTTTTAATTTGATGGACATATTGTTCTTTTTGTAGAGCATGGCTGGATTTATTCGGCATTCCCCATCCCCCCTCTACTTAAGGATTATATGCTCATCAATATTGTTTTTTATTTGTATTGTGTTATACTTTATCATACTTTATCATTATGAACATGCAGTTCATACATTTTATGGGGGATTTTGCAGCTTTTCTATGTTGATAGAGTCCAATTCAAGGGGATGAAAGTCATTAGAACACACCCTACCATTCTTTCGTGGACAACTAAACTTTTGAGGAAAAGAGTGGATGCAGAGAGGAATTCTGGTGGATTTGGAAAGGGAAAGGTTATCCCACGAATGAAGAACCCTACTACAGTTCGCAATGTTTCTGCTTTAGCTTGTCCTTCTGCACAAGTAGTTCCAACGATTTTAGTGCCATCATCCAGTATTGATAGAGTGACGCAAGTACTGCAAAGGCTTGCTGCCGATGTCATTGAGTTTGGAGAAGCAATGACTGAGGTTGGAAGGGAGGGGGCACCTGTGGAGGTGATAAAGAAAACTTTTTCTGGTATTTCAAATATGATTTCTGTGACAAGCACAATGCAAGCAGCTCCAACCCCAACAGCATCGCAGCTAGATGACATTTTCTTTGGTCAAGAAACTTTTACAGCTGCAGTGGATGCTTTGGTAGAGGCTTTTCAGAAAACAACCAGGCAAATGGAAATAGAAGCTCCATCTTTTGATCTAGGAATTTCCCTAACCCCAGCCCCATTACATAAGAGACCAGCAGGGCATAGCACAACGGAGGGAATACAATTGGATGTCCTTGTTGACAGCATTGCATGTGGAGCTGGTTTGACAACCTCCAACAACTCTAAAGAAAAATCAACTGATGCTGTTTCAACCTCCGGCAACAAGGGAAAAACTCCTTTAATTAGGGTTCCATTCACGTTAGATTCCCCTGCCACCCCTGCTGCTGCTGCTGCCCCTACTGCTGAGCTTGATGATATTGATAGGTAAATATATGCTTAGGTTTCATATATTTTGAATGCAACTAATATGATACCTATTGCATGTAACTGATATGCATTTTATTAGTTATTAATCTACAGTTAAGTAATTATGAATCTACAGTTGAGTAGTTATGAATATACAGTTTGGTAATTATGATTCTACAATTTATGTATTATAAATCTACATTTAATGAATTATGAATATACACTAGGTAAATTGTTAACATATACTTATTAAATTGATAAATATTCTATTGCATTATTATAACTTCCTACTTGCATTTTTTGTATAAATACAGAGCATTAAATGAGAGTGAGACTGATATTGAGGATGTCACCATCCGAAAAAGGCCAAAAAGAACATTCAAGAATATCCCGTTGAATCTACGATCTCCTTATTGGACAAAGAATGCAAAATATATTCGCAATACCACTGTTAAGGAAAGGATCGCTTCAAATTATGCATTCATGGAAGATTCTAATAATCATCCAAATGAGTACGTTTGAAATCTAAATATTTAATAAACTATTTAATTACTTAAGTATTTACCATGTATTAACTGATTATTTTTTATTTTTTTTGGGTGTTATAGTGAGTTACTGTTCAGCTATAAGGATTTCTATTTGACAAGACAACAGTTCCTAACAATGAGTGAAGGAGAAATATCAAACAGTCTGATAGATGTGTGGTCTTATAGGCATACATTACGCAACATCAAACGAGCACCGGGACAGCCAAAACGTGTGTTCTTCAGCACAATGTTATATGTAAGTATCTTTTGACTTGCAAGCAACTGTTATTTGAATTTCAATTTGCAGTATGCAAAGTTCTCATTCTCTTCATAAATGTTTTTTCATTAGCTGCAACTTGAACCAACAGACGAATGGATGAAGAGTCTCCCACTTGATAAAAAGAAGCAAAATTTCAATGAGAGGTTAAACTATGAGCTGAGTATTTTTGGAAATCTTGATATCAGTGATGCACAATTGGTAAGCTCTATTACCCACACTCAATATCCATAACCAAAACACTGCATATTCATAATTGCTATACTATATATTCATAATATCCATACTGTAGATTCATAATTCTTGTACTATAACTTTTTTTTTCTTCAAAACAGATATTTTTCCCTGTGTATCGACATGGACACTTCTTTGTTATTTGCATCAACACGATTTCATCTAAGCTTGAAGTGATAGACAACAAGGCCCTACCACCTGATGTTACAGAAGAACTTAAGTATGAAGATTGCCCTCGATTATTGGTAACTTATCCAAAAACTTTGACTTCTTGTCATTTGAAATATATGAAGTATGATGCATAATGAACACTGACATATTTTTTGTGTAGCTAACTGCATTCCAGGAATACTTGACAGCAAACAGTTCATCCTTGTACTGGAAAATAGAAGATATTCCTATAGAGGTTCTTCCTATGACCTGGAAAGAGACTGAAAATTCCATTGACTGTGGAATATATGTCATGAGACATATGGAATCATATAAAGGAACTCTAAAGAATTGGAACCCAGGATTCAAAAGAAATTCTAGTGTAAATGTAAGAGGAAAACATATTACTTTCAGATTTTTTATTTTTTATTTTATTTTTTTTTCCATTGCATGAGACTTATTATTTAATGTTCTTCATTTGTAGGCTGATTTCATCTATGGGTTGCGAGCAAAGTATGCTGCTACAATCATAACGTGGGAAGAGAACACAGAAATGCACAGGGTTATGAAAGCAGCAAGGGATCTGTCCGACCTGAAATGAATTTGAAATACTGTTATTTTGAACATGGTTGACTGAACAATTGTGAATTCTAATTTTTGATATTACGAATTGTGTAGTTGGATTGTGGGGATGTATATTTTTGCATATGTGACCATGATTCTATTATTATGACTTTATGTTTCAAACATGTCTATTTTTGCACTTGTGACCATGGTTCTAGTATTATGACTTTATGTTTCAAGCATATGGTTCTATTATTAATTTGTGAACATGTATAACATATTTGATATCTATAAGATTATGAACGTACAGTATTCTGGTTATGAATGTATAGTTATGGCATTATGTATGTACTTGTATTATGAATGTACAGTTTTGTGGTTATGAATGTACAGTTATGATATTATGAATGTACAGTTTTGTGACTATGAATACACAACTTTGGAATTTTGAACACATAGCATTGACATTATGACCTTATAATTATGAATATATAGTGGTAAAACTTATTATTTTCAACTTTGATGTTTGAACCTCTTAATAGACATAATAATTAAATATTAATAATATATATATATAAAACTTGTAAATTAACATGAAAAATAATACGATTCTACTGTTAATTTGTTGAACTAAATTACGTAATTCATAACTATGATATTATGAATATACAGTTATGGAAATATGAATGTACAGTTATATGATCATGAATGTACACTGTCAACATAGATGTTTAAACCTCTTTAAAAAATAAAGAACAAGTATTAAGAATATATACTGCAAAACTTGTAAATGTATATATAAAAGTTTTGAATATAAAGTTCAAATCTAACCAACTGACATATCACAATCTCAGTCTGCAACTACATTCTCATCTAAACTCTTATTAAACCGAACAAACTGTGAACTACTAGAAGTTGGGTGTACAAGATATCCATCACCAGCAATCTCAGATATATTTTCCAAAACCAGTGATTGAACGTCACCCTTTATATTTAAAGCAATCTTGTTTGCAGCACTCCTTCTTCCCCTTGCTATAGTGTACTTCTTTGCAATAATACTACTCCTCCTTTTATTACGCACACCTTTCAATCTCCGGCTTGAAGGATCTTGAACAATACCATTTGAAGATGAAGCATCACACCCTTCAATATTCATTTCCCCAATCTCAGCTTCAATCAATTTCTTTGCATTCTCAACAGCTTCATCGCAAAACTGTCTAGCTACACTATTGTCTTGACTTGAAACAACCAATTTTTGAAACTTCCTACTAATCTCAACAACCCAAATTGAATGAGGAACACCAACATTATAAGACAGTAAATCAAAGTTCACATTCCTAACAGCTGCAACCTTTTTGGTCCATCTTTTCATAATGTACTTGTCCGGAATACTAGGAACACAGTTTATATCAAGTATGCGTAGACAATGACAACACAGGATTCCCATTTCAGAAAACAGTTTGCAACTGCAAGAAATGTCAATATTAATTGGCTTAAAACTAACTTCATGCCTTATAATATCTACATCCGGTCGCCACACATGATACTTATATTGACACCCATCATTCAACACAATCTCTTGGTGACACGCACTGCCTTTCATTAACTGTTCCTCAAACAGAAAATAGATTTCAATTGTATACACCTCTCTAGCATGTGAAAGAAGTTTCACATTGTCAATCATCATGGCAGGTACACCTTGAGCACAGCGAAAGTCTTCACCATTTTCTTTACTTCTCCACTCAGAAATAACACTAACAAACGATGAGTAGAAATCACACAAACCAGCAGTCTTAGACAGCCTTCTAGAAATTGAATGATTAGTGGTTTCACTCCTTTGTGAAGGTAGAATACCCCCAGAAAAATAATCCTTATTGAAAGCTGGACACCACTTCTCCCTACAATCATAAATCTTCCCTAGCCATGTATTCTTGTGACACTTAAATTCAGTCACCATCCTGAAAATTATGTATTGTATATTCATAATTCATATAATGCAGATTCTTAATTGCAAATATTTTATATCCATAGTTAATATAATGTAGGTTCATAACAGCTAAACTGTATATTCATAACTTCTATACTATATATTCATAACTGATGTTCTGTATATTCATAATTCAAATAATGCAGATTCCTACTTGCATATATTTCATATCCATGGCATATATTCCTACTTCCAAATATACTAGCTAAACTGTAAATTCATAACTTCTAAACTGCAACTTCATAACCTATAAACTGTATATTCATAAATAAAAACCCATAAACAGAAACATACCTAGTCCAATAGAATTCAAATTCAGCTTCAGTGTCTGTGTATTTCAGCAAGCAGTTGAAGATATCTATGAACTCCTTATTGTTCCTTAACGTCTTGATATGCTTCTTCGAATTCTCACCAATATGCCATATGCAAAGACGATGGCGTGATGATGGAAAAACTATAGAAATAGCAGCAGCCATGGCTGCACATTGATCCGTCATAATCGATTGTTGACACTTGCCATCCATAGATCTTAAAAAAGCTTTAAACAACCACACAAAGGATTCTATCCTCTCGTTCTTCAAAAACCCACAACCAAACATTACATTCATACAATGATGATTCATCCCTACAAACGGCCCACATATCATATCATATTTGTTAGTGCGATATGTTGTATCATGCACTAACAAATCTCCAAACAATTCATAATCCCGTCTCATTTGACCATCCCTCCAAAAAAAATTACACAGTCTTGAGTCAGAATCAACTTCAAAATCGAAAAAAAAGTCAGACTCATTAGACTGCCTCCTCCTAAATATTTCAATCAACGAATTTGAATCAGTTCCATCTAAACTCTTAACTGTGTCAAAAGCCAACGAATTATAAGCATCACGACTAGTGAAACCAACCAATGGAGACCCGCCTGATTGGTGTTTCAAAAACCTAATACCCCCTGCCACCCCAACTCCACTCTGCTTCAAATCTTTTAAACATGAAAGCTGGTTACTTCCCACTCTCCTATGTGAACGAAGTAGATGACTCTTATCTAAATCACATAGCTCATGGTTGTGCACCTTCATATGTTTTGCAACTGTCCACAATCCATCACCCCCCACATCAAACTGAACAAAAGCACCAGACCCTGTCCTTGTATCAATTTTTGAATAAAGCTTAACACCACCATCTGCCTTACACTTAAAACCAGCCTTAGAACAGTAAAACCTCTTCATTTGAATTGTCTTGGTAGATGCCTTGTAACATTGTTTACCCTTCCTCACACTAAAACCAACTCTATATGCATGTTCATTATACAAATCAAAAGCTTCATCACCATTACTTACTACAACACCAACCAAATCTTCATCAACTGCAATTACAAAATATATAACCTCAAGTATAACAAATAATAACATTTGATGGAAATATAATTCCAACGTAGAGGGGGAGAGGGGAATGCCGAATAAATCCAGCCATGATCTACATAGGAACAGAATTTCCATCAAATGATAAAAAAAATATAACATTCACTGAACATTATGAATATAAACTCATAACTCCATAGTTGTATATTCATAACTATAAAACTGTACATTCATAATTGCATAACTGTATATTCAAAACTACATATATGTTCATTCATAATTTCACCCTACATACTCATAATTTCATAGTGTATATTCATAACTTCATCAATCTATTCACATAAGCACAATACATATATGGTCAAAAACATCATTCTAGCAAATAAAAACCATCACAAATCACCATACTTGATTTGTACTTATTGAATAAAACATTCTAATTAAGAGTAAACAGTGGTAAAAAACCTGGAATAGAAGAAGATCCATCAATGTTTAAATCTCCTTGATCTGTACTTAATGAATCACCCACCAAACCTTCGTTCACTGAAAATACATAAACAGTGTACACATAGCAATCAAATATATAAACATACAACTGTAAAATTGTTGAACATATAACATGCAACTTACTGACATTCACTTAACAAATAGCTACAGAGTACCAAAAAATGTTATGAATATATAGTTCACACAGTATGAATGTACAAGTCAATCATTATGAATGTATAGTTGCAATATTATGACACAAGCAAACTGCAGAGATTTATGAGTATTGTAAACACTCCAAAATCTGAAATCACCTGTAAAATCTACCCAAAATCGCATACATTGATTTCAATAACCAGCAAAACCTCACCAAAATCTCACATATTGTACACAATCAACAACAACCACAAATTCAAAAAAAAAAAACATACACATACACCAAATTTGATCGCATTAACGCACACAAATATACAATCGAATTCAGTTTTTACCTAATAAATCTCAAAACACAAAATATCAAGTATATTCAAAATCGCAAAATACCTCCATCGCTCTGATTTGTTGCCTCATCCATCAAAGAACTCTTTATTCAAATACAGACGATCAACAAACTCTGCGATTGCGATATAGAATGAAAGAATGAAAGAATAGATAGAAATCAGAGCGATATAGAATTGCAATATAGAATGAAAGAAGGAAAGATTGCGATATAGAATTGCAATCTCAAATTGCCAAAATGAAATAAGGAAAGAATAAAATCAATGACGCCGTTAACGGCTTAACAAACGCAAATTTTTTTTTAAAAAATTAGAATACCGCCGTTTTCCCCTAAAACGACGGCGTTTCGGACTCGTGTCCACAATGCATAGTGGACACGAGTCCATAGCATAATTTGCGTCATTCTTATGCTTCCTTGAAATAGTTACTTTCTTGGGCCGGTCCGTGTAGCCTAAGCCTAGTATACCATCCATCATCCAGTCCCTCACTTTCTTGAGATTTCTCGAAGTCGATATCTCAAGAAACTATCTCAAAAATATTTTCCGATCCACTCCCCTCTTTTAAAAGTCAAATCTTCTTCCGACCAGTCACTTGTCAAAGCATCTTTAGATGGGCGTCACCGCTTGGTTGGTGGTCCTTTTCAACGCAGCTGTTAAATTGAGCGGTCCATGATGAGCCCCCTAAGTCAGAGTTGAGTATAGGGGCCCAGATTACGTTGGTTGCCTCGTTAAAAAGCTTAGACTAAGAAAAACTCAGTGGAAAAAAACTTAGCTAAGGAAAAAAATAGTACAACTATGAGCGCCTCACTTCCTTATGAGCTTAAATATTTGGAAACAATAGAAGTAGAATGTGAGCCCTCTAAGCGTGTTAGCCGACCACCTAGTATTTCAACATCTTGCAAAAACTTAAGACACCAATTAAGTAAAAAGCATCTTCGTGAGATGTGCCCCACTAAGTGGGTATGGTCCGGACCAGCTAGTTTGCATATCCAAAGTTAGTTGATGACTCCTAGTAAACGTAATAAAACTAGTAAAAAATCAACATATTGCTTCATATGCCCTAACATGCCAAGATTCAAAGAAAAAGAGTAAAAATCAGCCACCACTCCACACTCCGATTATCCATCCAGTACTCCGATTAATCATTTAACACTATGAATTATCCATCGAGTACCCCAAAATCCATCCAATACTCTAAGTCCATTCAATACCCCAAGTTCATCCAATACTCCAAAATCCATCCATGGTTGCAGTAGGCGCTAGGCGCTAGTCGGGCGCCTAGCGCCTAGGCGGCGCCTAGGCAGAATCTAGGCGGCGCTAGGCGGGCGCCAAAAAAACAGTGGTAGACTTGCAATTTGACAATTTTAATGATGTTGTTTTCAACATTTAATCAAATAACACATCCAAATAAATGAATTACTGATAATTCATAAGTCATAACATCAAAACAATTGTTTAAAAAAAAAAACATTAAAACAATATTAAAAATTAAAAATACTCAAATACTTCAATCATCCAAAGATTCAAAGTATCAAACTAGTCTATGAGTGTATGTATGTCATATTATATATATGTATGCGCGCGCGCGCACACACACACACACACACACACACACACACACACACACACACACACACACATATATATATATATATATATATATATATATATATATATATATATATATATATAAAATAAAAAAATAGGCCGAGCCGATCGGGTTAACTCGACCGAAATGGACGAGTTAACTCGACTAACTTAGACGCTAGGCGGCCAAATCAGCCTAGTTAGGCGCTAAGCGGACACCTAGGCGGCCGGTAACCTAGGCGGGCGCCTAGGGAAAATCGCCACGGTCTAGAGGCGCCTAGCACCTGGGCGGGGCCTAGACGGGCGCCTAGACCGATTTTTACAACCCTGAATCCATCCAATACTCCAAATCCATCTAATACTCCAATTAAGTACATCCAATACTCCAAAATCCATATAATACTCCAATTAAGTACATCCAATACCCAAAATTCATATAATACTCCAAATCATCTAATGCTCCAAATCTATCTAATGCTCCAAATTCATCCAATACTCCAAGTCCACCCAATACTTCAAATTCATCCAATGCTCCAAATCCATCCAATACTCCAAGTCTATCCAATACTCAATCCATCAAATACTCCAAAATCCATCGAATACTCCAAAATCCCTCCAATACTCCTAATTATCGATCCAATACTTCAAGTCCATCTAATACTCCTCTCTGATCACCAAAATTTTGAAAATGTTCAAATTCTCAAATTAGCCATTCAATACGTACTTTTCTCCGCCAAATTTTTTTAAGAACTTTAATCTAGGCCAATTTAGCGAGTTGACCCGGTAAGACACGAAACATAAAGGGTCATTAACGGGTCAACCCGGGTCAACCCGTTAACACGGGACACATTAAAACTAAACACTAATCCGTTATATTCGTATCTGGTTTCGTGTCGGGTTAACGTGTCGTGTCCATAATTGTGAGGTTATTTGAGGATGAATTAGCTGATAGTGGAATAGCACTTTGACGTTTGAAGTGGTAAACATTGACTTTGATTTTCTACCTTAGTGTCAATGAAAACATCTTCAGGGTTGTCAATGGACTGATCTTTAGTTTTGTAATTGTCCAGCGAGTCATGCCTAGTGGTTGGTTCCTTCTGCTGCGTTTTTGGGTGTTAGTCTGTCCAAACAAATAAACAATCAAGTTCACAACTAAGAATTGATTGATTGAAATTTTGCCTTATTCTAGAGCATCTATTCCTATTGACTAATTGGGTATCTAACAGCTTAGGGTTGATGGGGGTGTTAATGCGACTGAGAGATACCCGTATGCATTGTGCTTTTGTGGAGCATGGAAAATCAGTTATTCTTCGTGAAAGCTGCTATAGAGAAACCTTATCTTCTGTAAGTTATTTCTCTCCCTCTGGGTGGCCCTAATGTCTCTAAATGCAGCCACTTATTCATTGTACTGTAGGTGTAGGGTGTGTTGTTTGCATTTCAGCCATAATAATTAGGCTGTAAGGATTTATTCAGTTAAAAATACATTGTTGAAATTTGTATAACAGAGTGCTGATGAATGAACTTTGCTTTTGTTTTAGTTTTGGTTTTAAACTTTTAATTGCATTTATGTCTCCATTCCGTTTTTCAGTTGAGGGCTTGCTTAACTTTGAAGTTTGCTTGAAACATTTATCTCTTGTTGGTGTAATTAATTTCTGCAGAAAGGATTACCTATTGATTCTGCTGCATATAATGATCCAAGCATCATCAGAGAAAGGCTTCCGGTTATTCTGCAGAGAACTGAAGAACTCAATATTTCAGATACCATGTAAGCTATGATATGTACTCTAGCCTCTAGGTGGTTGTGCAATGAACAATCTAAGGAATTCACACAAGTGATATAATTTTCTTATCCTATTACTGTCTATTCAGTACCTGCACATAATGTAATATCCTTTCTGATCTTATATGTTCAGTCCCACATTGAAAATATAAGAGAAATCATATGGGTTTAACATATAGGTGGTTGTGCAATGAATGATCTAAGGTCATGAGTTAGACTAGCTAATTGGTTGGATTTAATCTTTCAGTGTGGTTTGGCCCATGTGGATAATAGCCCAGTTGAGTGGTTTGGTCCAGTCTTCATTTATATTATAATATGAGGGGAGGGTCCAATCCCAAGCCCACTAAACCCATAGGAAATTGGCCATTATTATTATTTTGTTTGTTATGGTTAGAGTATTGTTTGTTCTTAGAGTATTATGTGCTATTAAACCTTTATATTTTATGGGAAGAGTACTTGCTAGAAGTCTAAAAACCAGGACGCCTTATGGAAAAAAAAGTTCTACACCAGCCTTCTTTGAAACACTTAACAGAATGAATGATGAAAGAGTCTCACTATTCGCAATTGGGAACATATATGCTTTACATATGAAATGCAACAATTTATATTTGTGATATATAACTAAAGTCTTAACACATCAGCTACTGTCAATAGTCAGCTTTTGAACTTCATAGCACTCTGCATTTCCTCTCATATTTTAAAAGAGAATTTACTAATTAAGTAGGTGGCTAGAAGTATGCAGGAACGTGTGAAATGCCTAAGCTTGTCTGGCAAAGTTTCGTCTTTAGTGACCTTGTATGTGGAATCTGCTAAAATTCATGAAGCACTGTTTCCATGACTGATGTGAACCACCACCCCACAAAGAGAAAAGGTTCACTGTTGTGGAAGGTGTTTGAGGGTTTGAACTTTGAAATAGTTAGCTCACTTAAGTTGCAATTTGATCACAAAAATTGCAATAGAATGAGGTAAGAAAGCTTCTGCCCAAGCTTAGCAGAGATTAGGATGCTTGATAGGTGTTTTAGGTTATCAGCAATAGAAACAACTTAAAATAGACACTGCATTTAGGCTTTACCTAGTACAAGATTGATACAAAAGCTTAAAACATTCTAATATTTTTGCTCTAAAGGGAACCCAAAGCTCTTAAAAGTTAGTGAACGTAACTGGGAATTTCAGCTTGAAGTTCCGTGGACTGCAGTAGAAAGTAAGTAGAGTTGAATATGAGATGGATGAAGAGAATAGTAATAGTTACAGCTTCAGATTTAGGTCAAGCTTATATGGATTTGATGACTGCTCTTCTGATTGTTGTGGATTGAACCAAAAACTTCCTGGCCACATTGAGTCAGGCGGCAGCGCTGACATAGAGAACCTTGTATTAGCCTTTCTAAACCTTGCCACGGTTATACTTGCACCCTTGCTTGGTTTATGCTGAACTGAATGAGGCATAACACCCAAAGATCTGAACATAGGATTATGGAATGGCATAGACAGCATTGTCATCATCCTCCGAGAGTTGAATTTTCTTACTGCACCTCTTTCCCTCTTGTGAGCATTCTGGTGGCCACCTAATGCTTGTGAGCTGTAAAACTTTCGCATACAGAAATTACATGAAAATACCTTAGGAGAAGTAGGACTTGAAGCCGGTGGCACACCTTCACCTTCACCTTCTCCCAGGCCTAAACTCAACCACTCTCCTGGACCAAGTACTGACCCCTCATCATCACGATCCTCACTTGTCATTCTGCTTCCTTTTCCTCCTTAATTTTCAGTAGAGGTAGAGATGAGAGGACCTTGGGATATGATAATCCCTAGGCTTTTAACTTTGCTCAAGATAAGAGATCAAAAGAATAAGAATGATATCTAGTTGGAGGAAATGGTGATTAGGTGACTTAAATATATCTTGGTGTTCGAGGGGACAATGCTTATGTCATTTTTCACTCTAGCCTCTATCATACTTGGATTCCCCACTTATAGTAGCATTTTCTATTCACTTTTAATTTGCTTTTATTGGAGTGAAAAGAATAGACAGGTTGAAATATTACTATGATTCTACACTTGTACTCTATACTTTAATCATAATGCAACGGTTTGTATTTCCTTTTATAGATGCCACTTTCTAATATTCACCATGTTATAGTTGCATCTCTTTGTGCAGTGCATCTTCATGATTAGAGTTGGGTCCATTATAAGTTTATGGCATTTGAAATTTGAATGGATGAGTAACCATATTGACTGTTTGTTTCCATTTTTTTGGCGAATATGATTTGAAATTTAGCAGGCAGGCTGGGACTTGTCTCAGAAGAACAAAGGTAACAGAGTCTTGTGTGCTGACTCAACAACTTCACCTCTTTTAATTACTCTTAGAAGATAAGATCTACTGAGATTGGCAAATCATTATATTTTTCCTGTGTACTCTATCATATTTCTCCCGTGGTTGGTTTGAACTGTGAAGTTCATAACCTGAACAATGAAGTATAATAAAATTTGGAACCCACTAAGAAAGATTTGTTTCCTTTATGAAAGAATGAGTGATTGATAAGCTTCAGTGAAGAATGTATATGTTGGAATGCGTGGTGGCTGGCAGGCAGGCAGGCTCATATTCATTTTAGTGTTTTAAACGCAGTTTCTTCTCAAGTGGTGGGGTCCATAAAGTTGGCAATAATGGTGAGTGATGAAAATACGAAAAATAACTAGGATTGGATAAAATTTTCTATCCTTTTTTTTTTTTTTTTTTATAAATTCTGTTTTTACTTCTAAACATGACTATCTATCTATCTATCTATGTGGATGTCTACTTGTTCTTGCCTTGTGGTGGGTGGCGGTGTATATGAACAGATTAGTGCATCAGCAGCCAGCCTTTGTACTCATTCTAAGTCTTTGACCTCTGTGTTTGTGTGTATTTACGTATTGTTATATTTCTTCAAGAAATTATTAGAAGGTTTTGAAGCTGTGAATATTAAGCTGCCAATACTGTCTGTCATACTACAGAAATAGCTCATATTATTATTCCATAGTGATAGTGATGTGAGGATACAGGGGATGAGGACATTCTTGTTTCTCTTCTTTTCTAGTGTTGCTCTGAGGAGTCAGGATATGATTGATTGTTGAAAAGAAAAGTGGTCCGGATTGGAGAAGTATTTATTTGGTTATGATTTTGAGTCTACCTGTCTAAATATTCGAAAATCTAAGTGGAGCAGAAGCGATGCTCCAATACAACTACAAAATTATTCCTTGTTGTAGGTAGGTATGTAGTATATCAAAGTACAATTCAGATAAGGCATTCCATGGAAGATAAGGATGATGATGATGCAATGCTTCTTATATCAACTTGGAGTTTAAGAATTTAGGGATAGATGAATGAATCTAGAAAGTAAAAAATTCTAGTTGGATACGATGTGATGTAACAATAGTTTCAAAGAATGTATCTCTTGACTAAACAACTTATTTTCCTTGAGAATTATTAACTAAATCCGACACAACATAAAATCTTACCCTTGTTGGCATGGGATGGACATGTTTTACATGGAGTATATTCATACTTGATAGTATTGAAATAGGTAAATACTGAGTATGTATGCCAAATTTATCATCATAAATCTTGTAATCAACTTTTTTGATAGTCTCACCTCAACTTGAGAAAAAGATGGGATGAGAGTTTGACAGAAGAAGGGTTGTGTGTACTTAAGTTGTTGCTTTTATTAAAGTTGGAAAGGGAGCAAAGATCAAAGAAAGATCTTGTTTGCTTGCCTACATCAAACTACAAAACTTAATAGCAAAAGGAGGTATAAATCATGGGACAGGTGAAAGGGGCATCAAAAGGACCACTCAAGGAAAAAGCCAAGTGGTTTGTGTTCATTGGACCTTCCATTTCATGGGATGACTGGAGATCCACACAATATGGACATTGGACAGCTTGCAACTGCCTACTAAACTATTTGTCCCAGAGGAAGGAACACTTCCATCACCTTATTTCCCTCTTATATCTATTCATACTCTATGCACTGTCATTCATTTATTATTTATCTAACCCTCAATACTTCTGTGAGCCACTTGATTAATCAAGAAGCTCAAAATGAACTTATTCTCTATGGAAGATCACTTTTATAGAGATTCCACTTTTTAAAATCACACAAAATCTTAATTTTATAAAGTGATTTGGGTTTGCTGAGTGGGTAGAGCATAATCTTGTTTGGGTATATAGGTGAAGCATAAGTCTTGTTTGGCTAACACTCTTTTCGATCGAGTTCATGATACAAGATTTCTTAGTTCAGTTTACCTTTTTTTATGTGATTTACGATTATAATTTATCTAATGCACAACATCCAATAATAGATGTGGATTTCCCTTGTAACCAAAAAAAAAAAAAAAAAAAAAAAAAAAACAACCTAATCACAAACTAGTCATAATTGTGTGTAATATAATCTCTGTTCAGCACCATGTCCTTTTCCTTACAGCTAAGAATTAGATGGATGTACCTGCTTAGTTGCTACTTATGAGAGAAATGGGGCAAAAGTTTGGTATGTTTCATTTCAAGCGCATAATAGGTAAAAGACAGGCATATCAGTATGAGATTCAACACCAGATTTCCATGAACTCAATAAGCCTATTACTTGTTGCATTCCAGGGTCCTGTTAAAAGCAACACCACAATTTGGAGCAACATAAAGACATAAATAAAATGAACCCTTAAAGTTAAACATTAACATGTGACACCAGAACTGCTGAATGGGTAAAATCCAAATTGGGAGCATTATGGGCATAACTCGAGATTATAAGTCAAGAAGGAATGTCCATACATCTAAAAGCATTTGTCCACAATCATAGCTCAAACTTCATCCATAAAATGACAACGATCTGAGAAAGAATGTTAGTCTCTACTTGGAAACATAGTATATGTTGTAGTACTATTATTCTCTGCATCCAAAAGCATAATCCAAAACCAACGGCCAAGGCAAGCCCAAAGCTCTAGCACCTCATTTCCCCACAAGAAAAGTTGCTCAAGTACCTGCAAGGATACAAATGCATGTTTAATGAAACTGCAAGAAACCGTATACATGTTTAATGAAACTGCAGGAAACCGTATACATGTTTAATGAAACTGCAAGAAACCATATACATACAGGCAACTCTTCATATTGCAACTCCAAGTTTCAAGATATACAATTCATAGATCACATGAGTCCATAGAGAAAATACTCACTCTCTATCAGGTCACACTAAAAATAACTAAGAAATTCAGCATCATGGTCAGTAGTTAATATGCACAATTTTGCCCTTTTTTCCCCTCTAATCAGTAATTTTATTTTACGATCTCTAACAATAAAATCTGATCTTCAAATCCATTTAAAGATGGATCACAGTCAATAAAATGAGTTTCTCTCTACTTTATTCTGAGACTTAAGCAGCCCGATCATACTACTCCCAACTGCAAAAGACAGTTATTTAAAAGTTCAAAGCTAGCACGACTGTTATCATTCTCAACTAGCACACATCCAATATACTTGTCTAAGGAAGTTGTAAGCTATTGCAACTGTCAGATAAAAATTGAGATAGAATTAACCATATATGCAAATTGTGTACCTTTGAGAGAGTGAAAATGAATTGTTTTGGCATTCAAGCTTCTTTTATCATACTCCAACAACAATAAGATTGTCCCTCTAATGTGTTATATTAAGTGTTGTTACCCAGATATGGAGCATAAAAAAATACATCATCTCAACCTGTGCACCCACTTTTTGTGAAAGTTAAACGGGTAAGATGCAGAGTGCTCAGCTTGCAATTTGCAAATAGAAATGAGCTACTAAAATATCCAAGAACTCACACATGACCTGCCATGTGTCAAGATGCAGAGGACTAGATCCTATTTGATATTCATCAAGCTAGTAAAAATAATCATGTACTTAATTGACTTGAAACAGATACATAATTTATAGAGATCCATGGAAATTGGCATGGGTATATAATAAATGTGAGGCGGCTCATATTCATACATATGTATAGATCATGCAAAAAGTAATCTTCCATTCTATTCCATTCAATTCAATTCATTAGACATTGATAGCAAAGAACACATGTATATTATGCCAGCAGCAAGAGAGAGAACAAAAGCAGAAACCTATAATGCAGCATCACAGTCCGCCTTTGGATGTTTGAAAGCGCTGCTGTCATCACCCATCCTCTCCACTCCACCCTATCAATCCCAATCATCCCAATTCCTTCTTATCAACCAAAATACAAAAGCTCCAAACATCCAACTACACAACCCACCCCACCCCACCCCAGAAGGAAAAGAGTGCATAGTTCCATTTATGCAGTGTTAATCAGAATTTTTTCAGTAGTTAGAAACCCGTATCCATTTTAAAAAATTAGCATATTGACATAGAATCCATTGCCTATCCTAAAAACAGAATAAGACTCACAAAGAAACTACTAGCGATCCTGACAAGTACGGCGAAAGGTACCGTGAGACAGCTCGCAACAAGCACGGACGTCAACCTTCAAATGCGATGTCAACCGAGATCCTGCCGCCAGCGGCAACAACGACTGCGCGGCCGCTAGTCCTCCCAATGTCCTGATAATTAACATAGAAATGAATCGCGAAATGTAAAAGTTAGATTCTGCTATACTTCAATATAATAAGAGATAAGAGATTAGAAGAGTGAGTGGACCTGGGGTCAGTGAAGGAAAAGCGGCGGGGTTGGGCACGCGAGGCGGTAATTGGTGGCGGACGGAGGCGAGCGAGTGGTGGAGAAGAGCGGGAGGTGGAGGTCCGGACAGTGGAGAGCAGTGATCTGGAAAGCGAGCCACGCCAAGCCATAGCTGTTGCGAAATCAACTCTATACTGTCTTGATTCCTT